TGTTTATAAACATTGACATATATCACAGAACTGCTCTTTAACAAAAACTGTAAATGTTAGTTAGATATTCCATTTAATTCTAAATGGTGCCCTAGGGTAACATAAAAAGTCAGAAAGTAAAAATGACAGGTACTGATAAAGAGAAATACTGCTTAGGGTTACTGATGTACAATTGGGTCTTTTATTTTGAGAATGGAACTTTTTTAGGACTTAAAAACTATTGGGAAATTGAGTAACATTTTTAAGTTAAGGTCTAATTCTCACATTAAGTCATTGAACTTTTGAGTGTACTATGTAAACACTGTTAATGTTTTTGTCTTTCATGACTTGTGTTTCAGCCTGAAGTAAATTCTGACATTGTGCATTGGCTCTCTTGGACAGCCCAAGGCTTTTTACCCCCACTTGCTGCAGCAGTAGGAGGAGTTGCCAGCCAAGAAGTATTGAAAGCTGTGACAGGAAAGTTTTCTCCTTTGTGCCAGTGGGTTAGTTCTGTATTTTAATATTTTTTATATTTAAGGTTGAATTAGCCACCCATACAATGAATGTCTGTTATGAATTATAGTATTAATATATTATGAAAGCAATATTTAAATATTTTTTGATGCATGAGGGAGGTGTGCTTTGCTACCAAAACTTAATTCTGTAATTGAAACGGATAAAGATCATATGTTGAGGCTATTGGACTATAACCCAAAGTTGCATTCTAGGATATGTTTCCTTATTTCTGACAGTGAGGGAATGAATTTTCTGTCCTTATGGTTAGTCTCCTATAGTATTAACTTAACACTTCTCAGCACTCTTGAACTTGTTCCATGGAATCTTTGGCATCATAAATCTTGAAAATCCCTTGCTACTTATAAACTTCTAATGGTAGGAAGCATGGGAATGGTAGATTTGATAACTGTATAGGGTAAAAAAAATCATGAGATGGAATACAAACCTTCATTTCTGTTACCAGAAGGAATAATTGGAAAGAGTATCCAAGGATACTCTTCAGGCTTTTTGTTTTTTGAAACACTTTAAACATCATTTTTTTATGTCTTAAGAAATGCCCACATAATGCCATTTTGGTGCTGAATTTTTTGGTTTATTTTAATACAGAATACAAGTTCATTTGTAAAAGTCTGAATTAGATACAGCTGTTAACAGCATGAGAAATAATATAAATTATGTTATTAATATAGATTTTGTGTTATAACTAAATAATAACTATTTGGTCATGTTCCAATTTAGCCACAGAAGTAACTTAAATGAAAATGGGAGACTTAGTTCTATTTTTTTTTTTTATTGCGGAATTGGGGGGTGGGAACAGTTTTGGGGAATCAGGGGAAGGGGAACAGACAAGTTGCTGTCGTTTTGTTCTTCAGTCTAGTTGTGGAGGACGTTGCTTCACTGGCCCAAGTTGGCACCATCATTGCGCTCTTCCCTGGCGAGGCACATCAGTCGCCGGCTTCTGGACGGCCGCTCACTGCGGCTGCTGGCCGCTCACGCTGGCTGCTGGCTACATACGGCAGCCCATGGCAATCCACTGCCACAGGGGCTGCAGCCTACGCCGTCGCCGGCGACTCATGGCAGCCCAGCTCCAGGTTGAGCTGTTGTTCAGCATCTTAGCTGTGGAGGGGAGGGGAGTGTCACTGGCCCTCATATGTGGGATCCGAACCGGGGCCCTCTGGCGTCCCAAGCCAGTTCTTAACCATTGCGCTACTTGGCCGGCCCTTAGTTATTTTTTTCATTACTTAAACTAATTCTGTTTGATATTTTTAAAAATACTGAAACTGTGGGTTGCTAGATCACCTCCTCTATAGTATATATAATAAGTGACATATAATATACCCAAGGTGGAATTAAACATAGATTAGGTACTTTATCAAAGACTGATCAAATTACTGTGGGGCCCAGAAAATAATTTTTCTCCTGTCTTCTAAGTTCTTCTAGCTGAGCTAATAAATTAACATGAGACAGAGTAACAGGAGAAAATGTCTAAAATTTATTACGGATGTACATCGGGGGTACCATAAGAATATAAGACCCCAAGGAGACATTGGGCAGTTGAGGCTTATATGCCACCTGGACAAAGGAAAGGGAGGGCAGGGGTCTGGAATTTCAAAGGGAAAGCAGACAATTTACAGATAGATGAGAAAGAGTGAGCGTATGGTAAACAAAGTCTTGCTGGGCCACCCAGAAAAAGTTGGACCCAGAAGGAAGTTCAACAAACAAGCTTTGCTACATAGATTTCTCCCTATCTGCCACATTTAGTTTATATTATGATAAGGAGATGCTTTCTTTAAGCAGGTTTTTCTACCTGAAATCCCTTAAGCAGGTAAAAGGGAAGGATAAAAGTTTCTTTCTGAATCTTTTATTCTTAATAACCAGCTTAAAATTAATATCCCAAGAGGCATATTTTGGGGTGTCAAAATTTTGGTCCCCTTCATTACTTATTCAAATGTAGCTGAAATTGCATGAGGCTTCCAGAGTTTTTAATGTAGTTATAAAAATAGATTTGTAAGTAAAATTTCCTGATGTTTATTAAAATTAAAATATGTCATCTTTAAGATGGCTAGGTGACATGAATTAAATTATGTCTTAGAACTGATTCTTCAGGTTTAATAGTTGTTTTAATAAAAGAATACAGGAATGTATGTTGTATAAAACACAAGTGTATTTTAATGTTATTTTACTTGGAAATTGGTATTTTTATCATTGTTTTCCTTAATTATTAAATAACTACAGAAGAGAACTCCTTTCCTAGTAATTTTCATTTCATACATAACAAGTTGTATTTTTATCTTCTACTTTAAGTTATACATTGAAGCTGCAGATATTGTCGAATCCTTAGGCAAACCTGAACATGAAGAATTTCTCCCACGGTAATACTAAAATTTCTGTTGCTTTTTTCTTATTTGTATGTTTATAAGAGGCAACTAGATTAAAGGAATTTTTGTTGAAATATGCATTTGTTTTAAATGCCTTTACTCCTAACTCATTTACTTCTGCAGCCATTTCTTCTCTATTTAGAGGTTACATGTCATGATAATGCCGTGTCTCTTTACCTCTTTATAAATAATGAGTATAAAGTTTTAAATTGTACACTTTCATGAGAATGTTTAGCATTCAAAATACCATTCTGATGTTAGATGAAAACAGTTGCTGTCTGCAACTTTTATTTATATCAGTGTTTCATTTTTTTGAGTCACAAATACAAATCTGTTTGAGAATCTGATAAAAGCTTGTGAATTCATTCTTCCCAAAATACACATAACCCAAAGTTCTGCCTTCAATTTAAAGTACATTAAATTTGTATTAACAATAATGAAACTAATTTTAATAATGTTTTTAATGCCTTTCTGTTTTGTTGGTATGTGTTATTTTCTTCAGAGGAGATAGATATGATGCCTTAAGAGCCTGCATTGGAAACACTTTGTGTCAGAAGCTACAAAATTTGAATATCTTCTTAGTAAGTATGAATAATGATGAGAATAAATAGTACATTCAAACTGCTATTGTGTATCATCAGGTTTATTTTATTAAGCAAATTTGAGTCTGAGTACAATTCCTAAAGTAGTAGATATTCAGTAAATGTTTAAAACAGGAGTTTGCAAACTGGGGCTTACAGACGGAATCCATCTTGTTGCCTGTTTTTGTAAATAAAGTTTCATTGAAACAAGGCCAAGCCCATTCATTTATGTATTGTCTTTAAAGGCTTCTTTTATGCTGTAATAGTGGAGTCGAATGGTTGTGACAGAGACCATATGGCCTGTAAAGCTGAAAATATTTACTGTCTGGCCTTTACACAAAAAGTTTGCCAACCCCTGACCTAAAGAATTAGTACATTTAAAAGATGATATGAAAATTATAGTTTGAACATTAAATTATTTTCTAGAAATATATTAAAAATTGGTTAGGTTTTCATTTATTGTTTTCCTCATCAGATGAAGAAATATGAAGGTGGATTCTGTCTTTCTTAAATATCCAAGGAATCTTTTTCATTAAAATGTTGCACCGATGTTTTGTGCTGTTTGTTTCTATCTTATATAAAAAAATGAGTTCAGTGTTTGGCTTTTGTCTGGAATTTTAAAATGTCTTCTGTTTAAAGGAAATGTAAATATTGTGTTGTTTTTCATCTGCTTTATATATTTTTTTCTTTAATTGAGATACTTATAATGGAATCAGAAACCAGTTAAATACTTTAAAACAAATCACAAATGTTCAAAAGTATGTATTTATTATAACTTTGCATTTAGTGAAAATTTAGATGAAATTTCTCTTAAGTAAGTAGAAGTTCTGATTTTATTTAATCTGATGTGTTTTTCTCCTCCATAGGTAGGATGTGGAGCCATAGGCTGTGAAATGTTAAAAAATTTTGCTTTACTTGGTGTTGGCACAAGCAAAGAGAAGGGAATGGTAAGATATAAATCATTGAGAGTTAAAAGTTTATATTTTCTTTGCTTCCAATTTAGAATTGTATTTGACTACATATGAGTAGATTTGAAATATTGATTTTTGAGAATAGATCATTAAGCTGGAAATTGGAAGATTCTGATTCTACTCTGACCACTTTTCAAAAATGATGTGACTGGGCCGGCCAAGTGGCTCAGTTGGTTAAGAGCTCGTTCAAGAGTTTGAGCTCTGAGCAACAGGGTCCCCGGTTTGATTCACGGCCCAAGCTGAGCTGCCAACCGGTGGCAGGATGGCTCAGCTAAAAAAAAATGATGTGACCTTATGGCAAATTACTTTAATTTTCTGCTCCTAAATTTCTTTCTGTAAACTGCAAAACTGATATCTGTACCATTAACCTTAAGTTGATGGACAAAAAAACGCCTTATATCAGTAATCACAATAATTGTATATTAATTTTTTTGATAAAAGGTATTTTCTGTTTGGCTTTTTTTCTATTTAAAAAAGGCACCCTCTAGCACATAATTACGTAGAAATGTTGAAAACGAAAGAAACAGTTATACCTGGGAAATACCAACTAAAAGAATGTGAATGAATATGTTTGTGAACAACAATCAACATCTAAAAACTGGAACACACTCTGAAAACTGCTTTTAGTCAAATTTTGTATACAAATACTAGCTTAAATGATTAAGAAAAAAGAGCTAGCTCCTCTATGGGTAATCTATTACATGTTTCTAAAATGTGATAGTAAGGTTTCCGCCTGTGTAGAAAAAATGTTTTAAGCAGGAATTGCTATTGGTTTCAGCTGTTTTATTTGACATGTTCCTATGCTAAACATTAATTATAATTAATTATAGGTACAAAAAGAGCGTTGGTAATCATTTTGGAATATTTCTATTCATATAACTTTTACCAGCCAAAATAATTTATAATGAATTGTGGGAATTGTTTTAGTCACCCCGAGAAAACCAAAATAGATTTAAACTTATTCGTTATGTGATTTCAGCCATTTTCTTTTCTTGGTATTAGGTTACAGTTACAGATCCAGACTTGATTGAGAAATCCAACTTGAATAGACAGTTCTTATTTCGTCCTCATCATATACAGGTGTGTTGTTTTTCTGTTTCAGTTTTAACTCACCTGTTGTGTTATACAAAACAGAGTTGTCTTTTTATAAATAGAAAATGACAAGCATAATATTATTGACAAGCATATTTTTTTTTATTAAAATCTTTCAACTTATCAAATACTGGGTGGGAATGATAATGGAGAAAACAATTATTTTTTAATGTAAAATTACGGTGTTGGCATTGATTTTTGGATATGAAAAGCTGAGTTGTGAATCACAGGCAGTATGTTTTTCATTTTGTGATCACCAAAGTGTGTCTACGTATGTAATTTTAGAAACTAAGGACATCTATAGAAATAGGTTCTCTAATTTGAAATGTTAAAAGATCACAAATTTTGTGTTTTTATTACAAAACAGATAAAGTTTAACACTTAGAATTTTGTGCTCTTTAGATCTTGTTTGATTATTTAACATCACTTTTTATTGTAAAATAATCCTTGTTTTCAATCTCTTAAAGAGATCAAAATATTTAAGTCAGGAAAAGAAGCAGTTTAGTCAGTCAAGCAAATTTTGCTTTTACTTTGTTTTTTTCATCATATTTTTATTTTATTTATATTTTTGTAAAGATTTTTATTGGGTAATTGGGGGGATGGGAACAGTGCTGGGGAATTGGGGGAAGGGAAACAGACAAGTTGCTGTCGTTTTGTTCTTCAGT